AACAACTAAATCCAGCGCCTAATAATATAAGCTAATCAGAAATGCTTCTGTGAAATGATATGAGCAATAATCTACTCAAGTGTCACAGCAAGTTGAATAAACTTTAAACTAAATTGTTAACCAACTAACTTAATTTGAAAGCTTATTTGGACTGACACACAAATTCATTAAAAAAAAACAAAGTTTTTCTAGGCAAGTGAATTACTTTTACGTGTACATAAAATCATGCAGCTGACACTTTCAGCGTTTTGTTTGACATTTTTAAATTCATTATAATCCAGTTCCACACAACATGTTTTTTAATTATAACAAGAATGTGGTATCATGATCTAAGAATAACACTTAACACTAAAATATCTGCATTTGCAATCACCTTTGTAGCTAACAGACGTTAATTTAATTTTAATTAAGTTGGAATATGTTTAAACTATACTATGTATCTTTATAGCTCCGATCTATTCTAATAAAAACTAGCACACACATCTTTACTAAATAACTTTGTCTGCTTATTGAAAATGAATTGAATTGAATAAACTGACTCTTTGGCCGGCTTCCTTTAACAAGTTGCTGATTAATTAAAGCACCTTCAAGTCATTGAAGTACTGAAGGTGTTAGATGTTAATAAAAGGAAAAACAAATGTGGGGAAATTGCGTTGACCTAAAAATAGCAAAATATAAAAAGAAGGAAGGCTAAACGTTGTGGCTGGTGTCGGCACACACACACACTCGAAGGAAGAGATATAAATGTTTATATGTATGCTAATGCACATACATATGACACACAGGATGGCCTAGGCAAAAGGATGGCAGACATGACGTAAATCCTTGTGGGTGTGTGAGTGCGTGTGAGTGTGTCGTCTGTCTGTGTGTGTGCGTTTGTGTATGTGTGTGTGTGTGTGTAACGGATGTAAATAGATGGAAAACTCAAGGGTTAAGGTAAGTGCAGGTGTGTCCGCATCAGTCACACCCCGCAAGTCCTTATGCAAATTGTCGGTGGTTTTGTAAGCTTATTAAGTGCTTGAAAGTGCATAAAAAGGACAACAAAAACAGGATGTGTTCAGGCAAGTGGCAAGAACTGCAGTTGAGCCACTCGGAAATGAGCGACGTGTGTCCAAAATGACAGCATTCAAATAGCAAATGGCAGCTGCTACACACACACACACACACACACACAGAGACCCATTTGGGGCTTATCATTTAAATATCGCAGAGAAAGCATCAGCATGATTCCGGGCTGCATGTAATTTCGTTAATTAAAAGGTGTGACAAAGCTGATGCTCAAATTTCATAAGCAAATAAGTTGTAGGACACGCGTGTGTGTGTGCGCACGTCCTCACCAAGGACATTTGAGCAGCAGCAGCTCATTGACATGCAAATCGACGTCAAGTTGTATTGGGTCCTAAGCCTGTTGGGGTTCCACACTACAAGAAGCTGCTGGCAGCTGAAGAACTTTGCCGGAAATGTGGCCTACCAGAGCCTGACAAAAGTGGATACACTGGCGACAAGTTAACTGCTCCAAGTTTAATGATTATTTATTTATAAATAGAGGGCTGGCTGGCATTTTGAAAATCCTATTGCGAGAAACTCCTCGCAACTCATTTTAAACTTTTTTATTTGGAGGGAGGAGTTGGGTTGATAACTCGAGCCTGAGCCTTTTCGACGCGTAATTGAATTTAATATGGCCAGAAACCTGTCTCTCATTCGTATACATGCCAAAGTTGCTAACGAGCAAAAGGGTTGTTCGGTGTCGTAAAGAAAATAAAAGAAAAGAAAATAAAAGTTAAGTTCATGTGTAAGCTGTCAGAAATATATAATTTGGTCGTTTGGCTCTGGCGTTGAAGTGGGTCAGTCGAGCGAGAAAAATGTTTTCAAAAAGCTTGTGAAAATGAATCGAATTGGACAGCAGTAAAAAAGCTTACTGGGGAGCTTTAAGCTCTGTTCGCTGGCTGCAACTTATGCTGTGCATGTTTGGACAGCTTTTGGTAAGCTTACAACTGCTTCATCCTTGCCATCCTGTCTGTAAGCAGTTTTAGCTGCCATAAAAAGTAAGGTGCGCTCAGCAAAGTTCAGCGACTTCAAGCAGTTTACATGCCATAAAGCAGTGCAGCTGCGCATTTTGTATGGGAAATGAGACGCATTTGAAATTGAAATTTGAACATTTTGAATGCTCATCTGGTATGCATTTGAAATTAGGTATTTGTAAAGTGTAAAAGAAACTTCACAGACATGTAACGGAGCCGTGAAACTGTTAGGTTTAACCATTTATATACTATTATTCGAATTACAAATGAGTACATAATATATATTTAAATAGTAGCACTGTATTTTTTGCTGGTCTAAGCGAAAGTAAAGTTCAGCGAGAGAGAGAGAGAGAGAGAGAGAGAGCTATTCACTATTCACATCTTTTTATGTAACAGAAAATCTGCCCAACAAGCTGAATTGAACTCAAGAGCAGTCAGTTTAATGCAAATAGCATATGTAAGCAAATTGTGTCGCAGATTTGGCCAAAACTGATGTACCCAATTCAGTTATGTGTGCTTATTGTTTACATAGTTCCACTAAGAGCAATAACAACAACAACAACAACAACAACAACAAGAATGGCTGAGTCAGCGCTTAGCGCTAAGGCAAGTGGTCGTCGCAGTACGAGCATAAACGCATCCTGCTCAAAGATGCAGGATGCAAAAGTGAAGTGGCGCTTGAGAAAATGCTTCAGTCGCATAGTGGAAGACCCGAATCCCGAGACCCTGCTTCTATACGGAGGCACTTGTCTGGTAAATGCTGACACCAAGCCTCGGCTCAAGTATTTTGCGGGCAAATAGTCCAGCTCTTGGCTGGGGTGTGGAACAATCAGCAGCATACTCATAGGCTGGCTTTGTGCGGCTGGATTGGGCTGGTGATGCTGGGAATGGGAAGCAATGTAATAAAAGTCACTCGAGTGACATTTTTGAGCTTGCAGCTATTGCCGAGTATAAGCAGATAGCAAACAAAGCGAACGCTGACCCCCAGCTCCAGCTTTAGGTACACACACACACACACACACTGTTTAAGGCATGCCTGCGGGCACTGTCTCCTGTTTCCCGTCTCCTGTCTCCTGTTGCCTGTCTCCTGTTGCCTGTTGTTCATTTTCAGGCGCTTTTTAATCGATTATAGCAAACGCGCATTGTTTGCCGTAAATCCTGTCTGAGTGTTGCATTACAGCAACAGCAACAATAACAACAACAACTCGCAACGTTGCATGCTGCAGCAGCAGCACAAAACAACAATACTCAGTTTAGAGTTGAGCGCGTGTCGTGACACGGCTCAAGACAAGTCTGTTTGTATGTGAATCCAAGTCGAAAACTTAGTTTAAATTGAATAAATGAATAATAAACTGAATAGAGAAAATTGTATAATTAATTTCTTGCCAACTAAATAGGGGAGCGGGGGGGGCGGAGTAAAACGCATTCAGTATTGCTGTACAATTTGTCAATAGACACGTTCATCTGCATCTCAAAGTGGGCACCAGCCTTGGTGCGTTGAACTGCTGCTCTATCGCATTTTGGTGAGCCATTCAGCGAGGCAGTTCATTCTGAAAAGAATTGAAGTCGGTCCTTTTCAAAAATTATAATATGCAGGGGGGCCCAAGTATATTGCGCAACATATTCAATAAAATTTGTTATCTATGCAGCAAAATTGTCAAGTGTGCACTTGAGAAGCTCATTTTTCAAGGATTGCGTTTCCCTCCTTGCGCTACTTGCAGAGATAAAGAAGCCGATGCAAGGATAACGAAGGGTTTCTCACCTATACGCGATTTTATATTCACATATCTATATAAAAAAACATTTTTTTTTTTTTGGTTACATTTTATGCTTTGTTACCTTTTTGGGGGTGGTGCGCTGGTTTTAACACGATTTTTTCTTTTTGTTTTCGTCACGATTTTTTTATGCGATCAGCGATAGTAAAAAATGCACATTGTTTTCCTTCGTTGCCTTCTTCTAAGTTGCTTTGCTTTTCCACCGTCCACACGAATTCAGCCGCAGGAAATGCACACGCGTCGGATCTCGTTAAAATGTTGACTTGGTATAGCTTTTAATATTGTTTTTTTTTCCGCATCGCATGTCGTAAAAATTGTGTATGGCATGTGTGAACTTACCTGTAACATAATCAGAGAATATATTAAGATTGATTGGAATACATTTCGGAAAGGGGCGTAAAATTTCAAATGGTTTATTAAACAAGAACATGGCAAATGAAAGTGTCAGAATAATGTGTTTATATTTTGAGATAATCTCTCGTTTTGTGATATTCAAAATGAACTTCGCTAACAGACGGTAAATATATTTATATGCAAATATATATACATATATATAAAAAAAAATATGTAAAAAGAAAACTGAAATCAGCCAAAATTTGATGTTTATCATTTACATTTTATTTTATACTTTATTTATTTTATTTATTCTGTAAGTTTGCCTTGATTTGCAGAAAACTACACCCGCATCAAAGTAGAAAGCTTTGACAGCTTTACAACTGCCAACTTTTAAACACGTTTTCGTACATTGACCTATCCCAAAAAAAGTGCCCAAAATGTGTTAAGTACTGCCGAGGGACAAGAACTAAAAAAATATAAATAAAAATAAAAATTTATTCAGTGGCACATTGCATGCTGAGGAGTCTGCACGATTTACAAGAAACGTACTTTTATTGACTGAAGCGATTAGCAGCTAATGAGCTGGTCGATGGTGAACGGTTTATTTATTTAGTCAGGGGGAAGTCGTCAACAATTATTGCTTGTTAAGCATATAATAAAATGAGAATTATTCCGGCAACTCAAGTAAAAAGTGTCTGAATTCCTGTATATTAATAACTTTTCGGTGAAAAGAGTGCCACAAAAAGAGCCACGAAATGATTGCACTCAGTTGTTAAGCAGAAGTCGATTGAGCTGGTTGCGCGATTATTAAAAGAACGTATGCGATGACGAGTATGTGAATTACGAGAAAAGTATTTATACAAGATATGCAAAAGACAATGCGACTGCTTTGGCTGCTGTTCATTTGCCAGTCAGGTGATTATTATCTGGATCATCAGCTATTGCGATTTGCAAATTGCTCCAGTTTCGTCTAATGCACTTTCATTTTGCCAGTTTGTTTGTGGAACACTGCAGCGAAACTGCAAAAGGCCAAACCTAGAGGCGGACTACAACATGAATCCAACATGCAGGAGATGGATGAGTCAAACCACTCCTATGCTGATTACAGAGCACAGCAGGTTGTTGATGCAGACAACAATCAATTGCGGGCGGAGGAGGATGTCGAGGAGGATACACAAGAGATAGGGGCAAGTGCAAAGCAGATACCCGCAGTGCAAGTAAAAGTGACAAATGAAGTGGAAAGTGCCATGATGATGATGATGAGGGCGACAGAAGTTGAGGAAAAGCAGCAACTGCAACAACCCAATGGCAATGGGCAGGACGAAAAGGACAGACCAGATATACATAATGTAATGGCCGGCGACGAGGGCGTGAACGTGGGCGTTGGCCTAATGAGCCCCAATGCGCTGCCAATATCGGAAAGGCATAATTTTGACGACGACAACAACAACAACAAAAGCAATAATAACAGCAGCAGCAGCAACGCTGGCCAAATGGTTGGCGATGAGCAACTATTGCGATTGCAGGACTACAATTTACTGTACAATGCCGAACGGCAGACATACTTTCAACTGCACTCGTGCAATGACCATCCTCCAATGAATAGGCCGTCCTTGTCGAGTGGTAATCGACTGTTGCAGCAGGTCGTTGGCAATACGCTGAGTGCCGCATTTGGCCTGAATGCGAATGCGGTGAGGCCTACAGCCATGCAGCAGATGACCACACAAACAGTGCGGCTCTATGATGCCGTCTCGTTGCGACAGTCCCGCTTCAATCCCTTCAATCCCACGCGGTGAGTTATGAATGAATTACGTAACGGAAGTATCTCATGCTGACAGCTTTGATTTCTTGACTGAATTCAATTATACAAGCTCTACTTGGTCACCTTTTCACTGTTGCTGTTAACGTTAAAACTAAAATATATTTCTCATTTTTAATAGTATTATCTTACACACAAATATCTTGTAATATTTTCCTGTATTTTATTCAAAGTAGTCTAATGACGCATAGACAAACAAACATGGCCTAAATATTAGTAGAGAGCTGTATAATCTCGATCGCATAAATTGCTCTGCAGTATAACAGGCCAGTGGTTAGTCGGCATTCAAGCCAGTAGACTCCAGGTGTCGTATAATGACTTCTGCAGAAGCTGTCAAGAAGAGGAAGAAATAGAATCTGGGAACACTTCTGCTTCTGGCCGGCACTTGCCAGGAAGCGATTTGCAGCCGGCTGGTTTAATCTTTGATCTCACATTTTACACAAGTGTAGGAGAAATCCGAGTTGGATCCCATGCGGTATCACAACAGGCCAACATGGCTTACATATGTGTGTCAACTTTCAGGTTGACAAACGTTTTAACTTTTCCTGCATACAGTTCAAGTCTTTTTATTTATTTATTTTGTTATAGACTTTAGCTTTAGCTTAAATAATTATTATACATTTTCTACCTTTTGCAGCATCATCATACATGGCTGGCTGGGCAATGCATATGCGAACATTTATAGTTATTTGGTGCCGGCCTATTTGAGTCTGGACGATGGCAATTACAACATATTCACCGTGGACTGGGGTCGTGGTGCCATAGCGGACTATATAACAGCCAGTTATAGGGTGAAGCCTGTGGGTCAAGTTCTGGCCAAGTTTCTGGATTTTCTGCACAAGGAGGCGGGCATGCGGTTTGAGGATCTGCAGCTGATTGGCTTTAGCATGGGCGCCCATGTGGCTGGTCTTGCCTCGAAGCACGTGCTGACGGGTCGTGTGCGTGTGATTCGTGCCCTAGATCCGGCACAGCCCTTCTTCCGTTACGCACAGGAGCGGGAGCGATTGGATAAGGGGGATGCGTACTATGTGGAGGTGCTGCACACAAGCGTCGGCAGCTACGGCTTCGATCGCCCGCTGGGCCATGTGGATTTCTATGCCAATTGGGGCAGCCAGCAGCCGGGCTGCTTCTGGCACGAGTGCAGCCACTGGCGTGCCTTTGCGCTCTTCAAGGAGAGCCTGGAGGCTCGGGGTGCTGCCTTCGAGGCCAAGGGTTGTCTGCCCAGTGCCTGGCAGGAGTTGATACGCTACAAGCGTTGCACGCAACCAACGGGACAGCGTCTTCATATGGGCGGTGATTTGGGCGCATTATCAATGCAGCAGTTGACGCAACGTGAGGGCGTTTATTATTTTGAGACCCCAGCAAAACCGCCCTACGCTACACTCAAAAAAACATGAAATGTAGTAGAATTTAAAAGAATCTTCATGACAACAATGTTCTCTTGCGAATCAGAGTTTTTGTTTTCAATTAGAAATACGCAATTTACAAATTTACATGCCAAATTTCACACAGTAAAAACGCTTCCCTCAAATCGACAATTCTACATTTTAGAAGAACTTTCTATTTCAAATAATTTGCTTTTTACAAATGAATTTATTAACTTTATTCAATTTCATAAAAACAAAAACATTAAAATGTATACCTTAAAATTTTGGAATGATGAATCTGATGATTTGAATCTACATATTGGCAATATTTTTTTCGAGTGTCCGACAGCAAGTTCAGAAATGTTGGGCTGCTGTTGCTGCTGTTGACTGAAAAACTATGTGGGGAAAATGGCAGGGAAAATATAATGGCAACAACTGCAACAACAACAGCAGCAGCAGCAGCAGCAGCAGCAGTGTAATGAGCAAATGTGCAGCGCGCATTTTTATTTCTAATTAGTAAGTGCATTTGTGCATTTCTAAAAGCTGCGCTGCAAAATTAAAAAATGCTGCCATGTGTAAAAAGCTTTTCATGCCAGTCACAGGCGGAAAAAAACCACCTCGCAGCGAGCATGTGAGAAATAAAAGTGGAAGCCTTGCCAAAGTAGTTTGTGCTGCCATTTTTTGTGTACATTCAACAAAAAATAGTGAAATTCACAGAACCCCCAAAATTGTGACACAGTGAGTGAAGTTACGGTATGTCATTTTTAAGTTATGTACTTAAATTTAAACCTATAAATTTAATGTCAGATGACGATTGAACAATCTAAGTTTGACTTCTGTTTACAAGCAATTTTTGAAGTGAACATTTGGATGAGTAGCAAATCTAAGTATATTATATAGTATAGTATTTGTATTCCATTAACATTAATAAAAGAGAGTCTTTGCATATGATTTGTGTTTAAGGTCTACTTGCCGATAGTTGCTGGCATACACTGTCACTGGAGCAGAGCATATAACATAGCGGACACCCGGCGTAGCCGACAGGCAGCGGCAAATTATGAGATTCCGTGTAATTTGTAGCCTGGTTTTTGGCCCGAGACCTACATAAATTACACACAAAAACACGCGACACACAATGTAACACATTTAATAGAATGAGACAAAAGACTCTCTCTGCTGCTCGAATGCCAACAAGTACGAGATCTACATTAATGTCTGACTTGGAGCTACCCTGTTCCAAGAACAACATCCATACATCGATTCATTGCTAGTACGAATCGTGGCAATATATTATTCTTATCAAAAGTCTATTCTTGTCTAAAGTTGATCAGTTATACGTCTATGCTGTGGTCTCGTTAGGTTGAAGAAGGTGTCTTTCTGTACAACTCTGTTATTATACCCCACTTTGAATTTGTAGAGGGCAAAAAAAGAAGCCCTTCGCTAGCAGCTAGCAGCACAACCCCTTCACTATCCCACTGGCCACACTCACTGTCTGCTATACTTTGGTGCTTGCACATTGCACAGGCTGCACACTCGTAGGCGCATAGAGCATAAATTAAAGATGGCGGTGTCGCACGTTGCATGTTGGCCAAGTTAACGACTTGGCACTGCCACGCATTACGCTTTAATTGTCCCAGTGTGTAGGTGTGTGCCAAAATGTTGGTAATACTTTTCGAGGGGGGAATGGGGGCCAGAAATTGGCGCACGGCTGCCATTAATGTGATTTCTTTCCACATCATTTGAGTAAACTCAGCAGCCAATTGGACAGCAGTCCCAAATGGGAACGTGAGCAATGAGAAATGACTTGCTCAAATATTTGCCAAAACAACGAAGAAAATAAGAGCAAATTCTTTTAACGTTATTCTATCTACTCAGCTACTCGGAAATGTAGGCAACGTATTTTTATGTATCCATAGAAGTAGCATTTTTTCTACTTTCTCATAATTTCTCCCTGGAGCATGCTAGTAAAATATTTATTTAAAATATTTTTCTACAAAACCAAAATGAGAAGAAACTCTGTCCACTGTTGCGTAATTTTTGAGGTCGGCGGCAGTGAGCGTAGCATGCAACAAATTGCATATAAATTATTGTTTATAAAGTAACAAAAACTTTCCTTTCTATTTTTGGTTTAGGTGCTCAGCCTGAAGCTGAGTTAGGCACTCGAAAATTGTCATAATCGAGTTTCCCTAAGCTCTGAAGTGCCCACAGTTGGACAGTTGCCCCGAGCACTGCTAGTTATAAGAGAACTGTAAAAGGGAGGGGCGGGGAGGGGAAGGGTCCTTTTGGGTTTTATTTATGGGGAAACTTTTGTACGGATGCGAGAATTGAGTGTTTAATAAAACTTTTACGCTTTTCGCATTTATGAAGTGATTTAAAATCTGTACCTTTTTGTGCAAGCCAAGCTATTTAATTAATTAAATTGATTTAATTATGATTCATACATATTAAGCTGCTTAAAACGGAATGTTACACAGCTTTCCAATGCCACAAATTCAATTTAAAATTATTTAAAATGTGAAAAGTATTTTACAAAATTCTTTATTACAAAAGTTATTATTACAAAAATTGATATATTGTACCCAAAATATTTTACAATTTCGCCATATTAATATACAGTGTTGAGACAGAATTTAATTGGATTGTATTGTCTGATGAGACAATTCTCTGTTATTAAATTTGCTTACCACAGCATCGATTCTAAGTAGTTCATTTTTCGTGTTGGATTTTTAGTTGTCAAATAAGACTTTTGACACTGACACTGACACATACACAAACACAAATACACACACACAAATCCACACACACAACTCACAAAAAGCTAAACGCGCACACGAAATTAGTTGTGAAACAAACTGAAATTGCGTTCAAGTTTTGGCAGCAAAATCTTCTTTTGATGCACCGAGTTGAGCAGTTTGTATTGTGTTGTGTTGCAGGAGCACAATTGTGGCACAGCCCGTGGTAGACTTTCGTCACTGTTGTCAGTTGTGCGCTGCAAGCCAAACTGAATCAGGCAGACAACAATAAAGTACGTGCGCTAATTTGTATACCGTTCTAAAAAAGGGGTTGCAAAATACAAAAGAAATGCATACAGTCGTCAGTTGGAAGCCCTGCAAATGTGGTGTCGGATCGCTGTGCCGCCCTCAAAACCCCAAAGAGTTGATTTAGCTACTATAAACTGTACAGAACTGAAAAATGAACTGAACAAACTGCACAACTGAACTGAATGGAGCTCAGACGACAATGCATTCCTAATTCCTCACAGGCTAAAATCTCATGCCAGCTAAAACCTTCACCTAAACCTAAACCCCAACACAACACTCTCAAGTAGCTGGCGTTGTCTGTGTCTTTTTGGTTTGCCAACGCAGTCACAACCTGTCATAAAGTGTCGCGTCTCGCGTCTCGCGACTCGCGTTTCCTTCATTTGACCAACCTCCCCTCTCCACTGTCCACTGCTTGCTTCCTTCGTTGCCTGTCAGTGGCGTTTCCTGGCCTCTCTTTGGGGTGTGGTGGTGCGCGGTGCTGTGCGTGCTTAACCCGCAATGGCTTCCGGCGCACGCACTGTCACATTTCAGTTTTGTTGCCGCCACACACAAAAAGTGCACATTACTTGAAACGGTTTTGTCGGCTTTGGATGCACTTAAACTAGCTTTCTCGCGAGCTCTTGCATTATCTTTGTCTCTCCCCCCAAACCGCACTGTGTAATGAGCATAGAGATTACATTTTTCAACAAGCTTTAAGTGCTGTCTTGAGCCTAGTAAAAACCAGCTCAAAGTGCAATGCTGTCAATGCCATCGGGAAGATAACAAAAAAAATGTAGCAATGAGAGATGGGCAAAGAAAAGAGAGATAAAACCAGCAGTTTGTTTGTTGACCAGCAGCAAACACAAAAAAAAAGAAATAAAAAAAAGAAGAGAAAAGAATGCTCGACTGGAACATATCCTGTCACAAGTTTGAAAGTATCAAAGTTGTACAATACACACAAGGACATTAATAAAAGAAGCACTGCAGCATCTTACTGCTCATTATGATTCTTGAACAATATCCGTGCTTTTGAGTAAAACTATTGCCATGAAATGTTCACCATACAAAAACAGAAACAAGCCACAGTTTATCATTGCTTAAATATTATTCTTGAATTATAAATAATGTCTAATAGAAATGGGTTTTGTACAGAGGAAAAAGTGTTATTTGTATCTGCTAGTTGTAAACCCCTTTGAACACTTTGGTTGGTTACAGGGCATAGAAACCAATGAAACACTCCGCACAAGTTACACAAAGGTGTGTGTGTCTACACCACGTTGCATGCGTAGCATGTGTGAATGCTTGGCAAACAGGCAAAAACTGGCAGCATGTGGTAACCGAAATGAAGGTAACTGTTGCCAACTGCAGTAGCTTTAAGCTGGTCAATAGCAAGGCGTTACAAGGTGTCGCTGCAGGTGGTTGGATGGTGCTGTTACTGGGCCCAAATGACTATTATTTAATTGTATAGCTGGACAGTGTGGAACAGCAGCGATAAGATCTCATGTGCTTAAAGTTTTGCAGAAATAATTAAGTAATTTAAGCAAATTTCAAGCAACATTTTGTCTGGCAATTACATCATTTGGACAAAAGAATATCAACTTCAAAACAAATGCAAAATTCGCCAAATCCAACGCTAACACTGGAGCAATTGGGAAGGCGGCGTTGTGGCAAGGACGAGAGCCAGCTGAAGCGTCGTCAACTGAAGCCTTACCAAAAAGTTTCAGTTTTTGTGCAAACAAATTGGATTATTCGATTACGTGTTTGTAGCAGCGAGGCAGAGGTAAATAAAAGCGAGGGTAGCGGCAAGTTGCGGGTGTGGAAAGTGACGGAGAGACACGGATTGAGAGAGAGAGGGAGAGAGAGAGAGAGAAAGAATGATAGAGGGGGGATGCCGGAGAGTGAGCCAATTACGCTGGCAATTTTGTAAAGCGGCCAAGAGAACAAGTTGTAGGGGCGACAGGGTAGTTGTTGAGTTTGCTGCTGGGGTTGAATGTTAAATTAAAAAAAAAGATCGCTTCCTTTGTCTTTGAATCTGACTTATGTGGATTTTAGGTTCAACAGATGGAATATGTTTACAACTGCAAAAGAAAAGCAACAAAACTAAAATTCGGATTTCATAATGCACATTTAATAAATCAACTTTTAAAGCTGGAAAGGTCAACACTATTTTTGTGCAAATGCGAAATTAAATTCCCTAGAATTTATAAGATGTTCAAGCAGATAATTCATTAGAAATTAAGTTAATGAAGTCCGACAGAAAAATGCCCAAAAAAGTGAAAGAAAATAGGTCAACGTTTTTGAAGCCGAAATAAAACTGGTGTGGCAGCTCATCTGCCTAATTAACATTAATATCTTTAGCAACTTTATGCAAATGAACACAAAATTAACAGTTTAAAGAACTTTGCTTCAAACAAAACTATACATTTTTCAGCTGTTAAGCTCATCTAATCAATGTCGATGCTGTCTATAAAAAATACTGTTGACAAGCGCACCACCCACAGGAAATCAATTTGTATTGCTGGATAATTGACTACTTCAGTCAACTGTCAGAGGATATATAGTGGCAGAGTGAAACAAGAAAGAGCATTCATCTGTACATAAAGAGCAAGCCGAAACAACGACAACTAACTGGCAACGTATGCTGTTGTCTTGTGGTCGTAATAAAATTAGGGAACTCAATGGAGGAACAACAGCAATAAGTTACCTTGTGGCAGCTGTGGATATCAGTTACCTGTTACACAGACAAATTAAAAGTCAATATATGGTGCAAGCACACACAAACACTCCCACACACACACACAGGCAAGAATGTTGCATGCAGAGATATAAAATTTATTGTTTCAAGCTGGTTGGCATTGTTAGAAAATTGTTCAGGGTTTTTGGGGTGTCGGTGGATGGTTTCTCAATGGTTGCTTTTAATTGATTTATATTGTACATGTTATATTTATATATATATACACACATATATATATATATGTATATATAGCTGTAATGATACACTGCAGATGGTATTTGTATGGCATACGTTGCAGCAGCTTTTCATTTATTTAATTTACTCGCCCGAAGTTGGCAAGTGCAGCTGTTGCTGCCCCCGTGTGGCAATGGTGCGCGTGAGTGATTTTTAATTTATATTTAAATAATCCAAAGGCATGTCTAAGGTCATCGAACAAATATGCGAAGCCCTTGACTTGATATTTGTCTGCCACAAAATCGAATTTTTGTTATATTTTTTTTTGTTTTTTTTTTTTTTGTTTTTGGGTCGGCTTTAACTTGTGGCTAGTCCTAATGAGCTGTGGACAGCCCGCAGCACAGGCGACGACAACGGAGCAGACCAAAACAAATAAGCAAACATGCAAGAGCGTAATAGAAAGGCGTTAAAGTAAAGTGTGAAGCAAAGCAGACGAAAAGGCGGGCTTAAGGGTTGGGGGGTGGAGGGTTATTGGGGGTTCATTCATTGCTTTGATACGGTCCGAGAACGTTAAACATGTGCTAGTTATGCACAATCGATAGACACTTGGGGCAAAAGTATGCAAGAGTTTTGCTGACTGGCAGACAATTAACCCTTTACGTGCCAATTGCTAAATAAAATTGTAAGCATATGCGTGTGTGTGTGTGCTTTTAGTGTGTGCAAAAAGTTGATTGAAAAACTCGATTCTTAAGTTCTGGGGCAACAAGAAAGCCAGCACAAGAAATCAACGTCCCCCCTTGCTTGGCATTTTAATTGGCATTGCTGGCTTCAAGTGAACGCCATTAAAAAGTTGACTTTAAGCCAATCTGGCAACGCCTCAACTTAGGCATCAGGCACTCAGGCATTCAGGCATAGCTATTTGGCCAATCAGCACTGCAATGCGCCTTGCGTATACGTAATTTAATTAAAGTTTATGCTCGCCTTTTGTTGTGTATTTTAATGAGGTTAGCCAAATAATGTGCAACCCAGCTGCTATTTATGACTGCTAAATAAGCATACACTTCTGGATTGAGAGTAAAAGAAAAGTTTCATTTATTTATTTTTAAAATTTATGAAGGTATCTTTGAAATTATTAATTGAGGAAAGTGTTGTCATTAAATTCGTTTCTAAACTTACTTAAACTGATTTAAAGAAAACTCTTTTTACTGGATGAGTTCAAGTTAGTTGTTTCTAGGTTCAAAAGCACCTGCAGACTCAAGTCAAATCTGATTTAAATAGTGAAACGTGCTTGAGCAAAACTTGATCAAATTAAACAGATGCAATAAATCTGTTGAGCAAAACCGGTTTAAAATATTCGCAACTAATTCCTTAGATTATTATCGACATGTGTCTGTGAAGTTAACATAATCAAGTATAAAGAACAGTAGTGCTCAATAAAATCAATTTGAATTTAAATTAATCAATTATTTGCTCAACTGAAGAAGTAATTGCAAATCGCTAAAGGAAATATTAAATTATAAATTCATTTCGATTGAACAAACTGGATAGATACCATAGTGCCAACAGAATATCGTTTAGCTTCCGCCCTCATGCGGAACCTTAAATATTGCACACATACAGACTACAAAGTACTCTCCACATTCAGAGCGAGTCGTATGCAAATGCACAGGGGAGCCTGACAAAAAAAAAAAAGAAATAAAAAGAGATGGGAAGCGAGCAAAGGAATGTGAATCACATGCCACAATACAAATTGAAGTGCTCTACATTATAATTCATTGCACAGGCAATATGATTTTTGCAGTTCCATGCTGTAATCGCCAGAGCTGAAGCTGAATTGCGAGGAGCCAACAACTTTTAACAATGACATTCACTTTTGGCCAGCCAGTGTCCCGCAATCGTTAGCATTTCAACCCCTGTTCAACAGCACTGTGCAACTGCAAGTTGCACATATGCCATGTGTCCAAGTCTGCAGCAGTTTCAGTTACTGAATCCCATCTACGAGTTTCATTTTGAGTCAGTTGTTGTTGCTGTTTCCACACAATTTTTTTGTCGTTGGTTGGCATTTCAGTCGTATAGTTTTTTTCTTTATTTTTTTTTTTATTATTTATTTGTTTGTTCTCCCCCTCAGTTGGTATGCTTTTATTTACTTAAACTGTGTGGCGTGAGTATGTATTTTATTTCATGTGCACGCACATACAAGAGAGAAAAAGAGCGCACGTCTCGCATGCAGGACAAAAATTAAGCAATTTCAGCAAAGTGGATTTTATTCCTTTATTACTGTTGTTGTTGTTGCTTTAAAATGTCAACTAATTGGTTTATTGTTAATGGCCAATGGTTATTGAATTGTTGCGACAAATGAATTATGTATTTATTCGATTCGCTCAATCATTTAAGTATTTAATCGATTCTGGCTTGAGGATAGCAAAATGTATAATTTGGCAATTAACAAAAATCTGCATACCAAATTATCTAATGCCAGTTTATTTATTTATTTGTATACTTAAAATTCTAGATATTAGAACATTTATGATTTTTGTAGATGATTACTTTTTTCTCTTTAAATTCCCAGGCTCTCAAAAATTTCATTGGGTAATAAAAACAATACTCAGCGATACCATTACCCACTTGAACTAATGTCCAACTCAGTACCACAGGAGCTGCCAAAAATTTACAAATCTGCATTCAAAAATTCAAGTAGCTCTCATTAGAAGTTTACATCACATTAAATTTAATAAACTCATTCGTAGTATTTTTTTAAAAGCAGTCAAAGTTCATATAACAAATTTGTTGATGTTTGTTTTTGAAAACGAGAGGAAAACAACAAAAAACAATTTTGTTGATTTGCTAAATTTTAATGCATTCGTTGAGACTGTAAAAAAACAAGCAAACGAGATGAAAAAAAAAAAATGTTGGCACAGTCGCAACTTTTGCCACAGAGCATTATGAAAATTAAATGAAAAATAATCTTAAATACATAACGTATACGACACGTTGCCAATGCTGGGTGTTTAGCGCCAGCCTTTGGCAGCACTTGCAACTTTTTTCTTTTTTTTGTAAAGCCTTAAAGAGCATAATGTATGAGCAGTAAAAAAAGAAAGAATAAAAATGCTAAAGAGATTATAGCCAGGGCATATGAAAGTATAATTTTTTTGCAGATGTTACTGCTTAATGTGCTTATATAATTTCAACTAAAGGTTTCCTTGTTTTTTCGCGTAACGCGCTTATGTATGGTTCATTAAGAAGGATTTGAAGTGCTTACCCCATATAGAAAGCAGTCGGATTTAGTCTATCAATAGATACTAACCTGCAAAAAGACAAAAGAGACGAGAAGAGACAAATGTGATTATAATGGGGGTTAAAATATATATAAACATTAATATAAACAATGGAGGCTACTATCTAATGAGAGAGAAAAAATCTATTTTAGCAAAATGAAATCTATAAATATCCACAACATCGATTACAGGGCAACAATTTCGAGATTCTATTTTATTTTCTATAGAATTTTTATAAACAGCTTACGGGCGAAGTTTGCTTTATTATTTTATTATGCAGAAAATTGCATTTGGATTGTTGTTGTTATTCTTGTTGCTGTGAATAAAATAAACACCAGAGTCGAGAGATGCAAAACGGAGATCAGGATAATTCAGAGCTGTCGACGAGAGGCTATAAAAAAATGCGCAATGAAATCAACAGCAGCAGCAACATCAACAGCAAATGAATAGCGGAAGTTTAAGTGTCATCAGAGAGAGAGAGAGAGAGAGAGACAGAGGAGGATGGTGGGGTATATCATAGTTAACAAGTTGGGGGTTATTATGCTAACAATATGAGCTCTGCTTAACGAAAAGCCTTCAACTGGAAACGTGCAATTTTAAAGGTTTGCAGTTTATTTGTTAGAGTTTGCCAGACACGTGTTTAATAATATTCCGACTCTTTCACGTTTTCGGCTCTGTTCAACTAATTTCAAAGTTGAAATGAACTTTTAAAGTAGTTGCATGCTGCACAACTGTTGCTCTGCTGCTGATTATGTGTTTGCATGTAGCTTAGCATAGAAAACTAAGTTAAGTTAAAGTTACAGCTGAGCCAACAGCCTTATAAGTAAATGCTATACAAGTTTTTTTTCGTTTCCGGCACTGTTGGTCACACACCATCAATAACACACTCAAGTCGCAAGTTTTTGTCGAGGAAACATATGGAGAAGGATGGGGACGCACGTACCGTCTTATTCTTCTTCTAACTCAGTTGCTTTTAGTTGCTCTCACAAAATTTGATTTCTAATGCCAACAATTTCTTTCGTCGCTTTTTCTTTTGTTGCCAAAAACTTCAACAAGGCAACGACAGCAGCTGCAGAAATTGAGGCGACCTGCCACGCTGAAGGACACGTTGCACGCGCTTCGTTCACGCGAGTAACACATTTCTCTGTTGCATGTCTCAGAACGTATATAGAGTTAAGTAAACAGATAAACATAATGTTGCATATTTGTGTATGTTCACTCAAGTTGTTCGTTCAAGAGCTTATGTAAGAATATGTAATTACAAAAAAGTCCACCAAACTGAAAATGTTGAGTTTTTTCTTCAATCATTTCTTAGTATACCTTAAAGCGCATCTGGTGAATAAGTTTGGTTTATACAATTGATCTGTTTTTTGTTGTTTTTCATTTTACTTTAGTAACTTTTCTTCTTTTGATTGATTACCTTTGAAATATGTAAGGAATGTGATTTTTTAAGATTTACATGTCTGGCTTGAATTATGGTTTTCATAATTTATGTTTATTGAATTGAATTTTTAAGTTCTTTTCCAGACAAATAAGATTATTATATTCATTATTTCAGTCATATAGCCCCGAAAAAAGTTATTTAAAAAGGCATACAAGATTCGGCTAGCTGTAGAGATTATATTTCTTCATTTTGCTGTTTTTCTCAACTGATGAGATTTTGTGGCAAAAAGAACGCTTAAGGATACTTGCGCAAGATTCGTTTTTTTTTCTTTTCAAGTGGAGTTTTCATAGCACTTGCAACATATTCACACATACAAAGCCAGCTGCCACATGCATATGCATGTTTAAGCGAGGACATACAATTTTAGTTCCTTTGGCAAATGGCGCTCATTTTTTAATGAGCGCCCCGGAAATGTGTGTGTATATATGTATGCGTGTGTGTGTGTGTCTGTGTGTGTGTGTGGTGGGTCTGGGTCTGGTCTCTTTGAAATATGAACAGCGAAGCACAACTGACGTTTCGCGTTTGGCTTGGTGTGGGTGTTGGTGTTGGTTTTGTGTTGTTGCAGGACATTGGTTTTGATATTGCAGAGTGACGTCGACAGCGGGCACAAAATTATTTTTAATGTGTCGCACGAATATGAAGTATCCTTGCATCCGGACCAGTCCTACCCTGGCCTCCTGCCTGCCGGCACTCAATGTTTACTCATTGATATTGTAAGCGCCTGCCTAAAAGTTGACTGCAAAAGTCCTTAAACAGTATTTACGCACCGCACACGCGTCCATTAATCAAGCAATTTATCAAACATGTCATTTGGCAGCAGCAGCAGCAGCACTCGGAGGCATGTGGATGTGATCATGGTTTGACAAAACAGAAATGTGAGCACACCACAGTCTCTACCCAATTCGTATGTGACACTTTGAAGTGAAGCGACAGGACAATGGACAAAATTTCATAAAATTTGTAAAAAGCGTCAGCAAAAGTATGAAAAACCATAGCGAAAATAAAATTTAAAAAATTTAAACAGGGCCAACAAATGAAATGATATATTGTAGATTCATAACCAGTAACTAAATAATCAAATACTAAAACAGATACATAACATAATTATTACATTGCAACAATGATCCTCCGTCTTTAACAAAAATTATTCAGTATTTCAATCTGTAAGATTGCCAATATATTTCCTACTCAAGATTTTAAAAGCCACTGCCTTTCTTAGCATAAATAAGAACTTATAAAAATATTTGCTGTAACAAAACTAGTGAATTGTGCCCATTGTGCGCAGTCAGTCAGGAAGTTGGGCAAATTGACTGCTGTCTCGATCTGAGTTCCGATTTGGCATCAATGTTGCTGTTGCTTTATTGTTGTCTGCTGCTAAGCATCTCAACCACAAATTCTGGGCCATGTCAAAGTCGTAGGGCTTGTCAATCAGCTTGAGCAGCTTTTTAAGTGTGTACGATGTGTGTGTGTGTGTGTGAGTATGGGTGTGTGTGCGTATGGGTGTGTGTGTCTTGTAATGCAAAACCAGCATTAGTCAATTATGTGTTGCCTTAAAAGCCATACAAATGCAAACAAGTGCGGCCTTTAGCTTGGCTTAGCTCTTAAGGCACTGCCAGAAGGTACTCGTCTTTCTCAGTTTAAGTCTCTGCTCAAAAGTATGCTACGCTCTTTATACTCATATATATATATATATACACCCACGCACACTTGCATACATAAGCAGCATAAGGCTTATAGTTCATCAAGTGAGAGAGTGAGTGCTCAAAAGAGGTTAATAACTGTAGACATTGCCAAGCGAAGCTTGAAATGAACCAGGCGAAACTGAACCATCGAATTACCCTCCTTCCTTTTGTTCAGTCTTCCAGGAAATCAAGGTGAGGCGTAAGCCGGGTGTTTGAGTTGTGGGTGGGTTGAGTCTCCTCATTAATATGAGTTGCTGAGCTAAGACAAAAGTCCGCATTCTTAGTTAAATTGGTCCAAGAGTTCAGTTCCTTACCAACGATGTGAGTTTAAATCTCAAACCTTATCTAGTTGGATATGTTTTCTTTTATAAATATATCCACTACGTTATAAAAAAAAGTCCAAGAATGTGTTTCAATGCTCAATAAAATAGAGATTGAATACGAACTTGTTGATGATTCCTTATACAGACCCTGACCAATAAGAGAGCAGAGAATATAAAAAAATTAACCTTTCGACATATATAAATCCTCATATTTGTTCATTGATGCGTAAGTTTACAATTTCTTTGCTTAATTATATATTTTAGCACCATTCAGGGAAAATTAATGGTCTTAATAGAAATATATGTAAGTTTCCCATCAAACAGTTGTCAAAGCATAGAACGACTATTTTAGGTATATTATCCCCATTCAATTTGTGCCACAATTCTTTTCGAGAACATAACTTAAGCAAGTGCACGCATCTTATTTCGTGCGAGAGTATCCTTGCTTGACATTTCTTATGTATTTTATTCATATTTATTTCGCAACATTTTCCTCTTCTTTTGCATCTTATTTGCTTTTGTTTTTCTATCTCTATTGTATACAGATATATTAAGACGTGCTTCTTAAGCGCTGAAGAGCTTCCTGCTTTTCGGTAAGACATGCACATATCCTATTTCAGGCATTTATGCATGCTTTCCTGTGTCAAGCATTTGCACACGTAATTTGCATGTGTGTCAAAGCCAAAGGGATGTGACATACATAAAATGCTGGCATACTTACGGGCCGCACCGCATAACCTCCCTTCATAATTTATACATTATTTATGTTTTTATGAGGCGTCTTATTTTGTTTTCACCGCTGTCACGCCTCGAGCGCACAATTGAAATTTTATGACTTACTCGGGCCAAAAGAAGACAACAACATGAACTGTAGTAAAACGCCCCTAAAGACCTAGTATCTAGCGCACACACACACACACGTACACACACACACATTTTTATGAGCTGCCTTAATCGAAGTTTTTGGTTATCGGATTTACAAAACGCAAAAATTCGCTTTATTACCTTCCAACATGCGACAATTGCAGCGCCCATCAAATATATGTAACGCCACATATTTCTATTTCCTTTTCTATGTCTGGAACTGGGTCCGTGGAAACTTGGTCCGTCTAGTCGTAGTAGCCCCCACTCCGAAAACTATAGCATTTAGCAAAAAAAAAAAAGAAACCCACGCAAATCCACGCCAAATTCATTTCCGGGCAATAAAAGTCTGGTGCATTGCAATTCGCATTTTGGTGTTGGGTGCAATGAACCGCCCGGAAAAAGTGCCGAATACAAGAAAAACTTTTCCGAGCATGGTTGCAAATTGTACGCCTAAATGTATGCAAACGGACGAGGTGGAGTTGGAAATGCTAGCTGATAAGCAACCGGCAAAGCAGACGTTACAACAATTGCAACACTGACAGGCTTTTGCTGTTCTTTGTTGTTGCAACAATGATGGGCAGTGTCTGATGTTAAACACCCTGTAACTTCAATTAAAATATGGTATCCTCAGCTCATACAACACATTTAAAGGTTGCATGTATTATGTATTCTTATTAAATTCACATTTCATATTCATATTTGACATCATTATTATT